CTAGTGACATCGACGTGTTTCTTCGCCCTTCGTCACCCCCACCACTCTAGAAGGATTGGAACGGAAGCCCTGCCGGTAACCGGGAAAAAATAGCATGGCGAAGGGCGGTGATCTTAAGATTGTATGACAATGTTTGGCATGGGACGATCACAAAAGTAAAAGATCGTATGGAGGAGTACATGGATTGAGGTTGCGAGGTGAAAAATCATGGAAATGAGAATAGTGCAGGATAAAAATCGTAACGGATACTGACCGTGCGTGGACAAAACATTGTGCCAAAAGATCGTGAGGGACAAGAATCGTGCACGATTAAGTAGTCGCAAACGTTCGTACGGCATAACGGTCCCTTGGGCGGCTACGTTTCTCAGGCACAACGTCGAAAACGACAGCACAACTTGTAGCTATCGTTGGACCTGCAAACGACGACAGGTCCGGCGGCGCAACTGCGGAGGCGTTGCCATACGGACGTCGAGCTGAATGTCAGTGCCAGCCTGAAGTGCACCTGGAGCCAAACATTGGACTTCATACCAAATGCTTCTGCTACGGAGAAGCCTTCCCAGTGGCGGAATCCGGTTTTCTGGACATGGACTGGTAGCCTCGGACAGTGGACTATCATGGCGCTAGGTACTGGATTTGTTGGATAACCCCCACGAGTCGGGCTCGACGGCGGTCCATGACACACACAACATACAACATACAGTATCAGTCAGTGTCAATGGCGCCTCTCAGATTTCGGTCGCTGTTTGCAAGGTTGAATGAGGAAGGGGAAGGGGACTAAGGTCTCGAACTTCCGCAACCAGTTTGTAATAACTTCCACTGCTGCCGCTGTCCGCTACAATCTCAAGCAGGCATACTGGTTCCGCTCAGTGCAGGTACGCTTATTACCCCTGTCCTTTTAAACCCTTTCCCATATTTGCGATGGTAGATTTTCACCACATGATTACAACATTTGTCAATGATGATTTGCGCGCTGTACTATCTTTATTTAGCTTACGTGTTTTACCTTTCATCTTGTTTACCATTTCCTCTCTATTATTTTCAATGCGACATTTATACCGAAGATTTGCATCCCACAGGGTAGCTTGCCTAACATATTCAGCGCTTGAGTCTTTCCTACGATCGTTTGCAATGTGAAAGCTGTCGATGAACCTTTCCTGATCACCCTTAACCCGCACTGTGTTACGCTTATGATATTTTGCATACGATCATTTGTGTGCGATATTCCGCAATCTCATTTGCCCCAGATAATATTTGGTCTCACTATCTTTTGCGCGCAACCTTGTTCAAATTGTTATTCTGTATGCGATCTTTTACCCTGCATTCATATCTACTATCTCCACGTCAGGTCAAAGAACTGAAAAGGCAGCCGGGAGGCGCGTCGCATCACTCACATTTTAAGCTTCCCCTCTTGTACTCATGTGCGCATGCTTTTACATTGACATGTGTGCTATTACATTTATGTGCCCATTTCTGTACTTACACGTGATAAAGCTAGTGGTGCAAATATGGGCTCGTCACCATACACATGCGAGAGAAATATCACTCGCACGTCACAGGTTCACAGGAACATGATCTTGGATGACTGAAACGCTTGCTACATAACAAGTCATCACTAGGTCATCACGTCAGTCATCTCTATGTGAGTTCCTCGGCACCCGCAAAGTTGTAGTGGGCGTCGACATTATGTCATGCGCTCACGTTTCGGTACCCACAATCTGGAACATTGACCTTCTGGTCTGCGAGAACAGGGAGAGAGGGAGAGAGAGAGAGAGAGAGAGAGAGAGAGAGAGAGATAGAGAGAGAGAGAGAGAGAGAGAGAGAGAGAGAGAGAGAGAGAGAGAGAGAGAGAGAGAGAGAGAGAGAGAGAGAGAGAGAGAGAGAGAGAGAGAGAGAGAGAGAGAGAGAGAGAGGAGAGAGAGAGAGAGAGAGAGAGAGAGAGAGAGAGAGAGAGAGAGAGAGAGAGAGAGAGAGAGAGAGAGATTTATATATATATATATATATATATATATATATATATATATATTCCTTTCCGCTTACCCCACTGGCCGAAAGGGGGACGGGCCAAGACCAGCGAGATTTAAAAAATAATGCACGTTATTTGTACCGTCACGCAGATAATGCCAACACCAAGTTCAAGGGCCACATGGCCTTGAGAACCCGAAGTCTATGGCTGACCTGTATCGATCTGGTGAGCTGCGTGTCTTGGATCGATATCGGTCATGCCGGGCTGGACGTTTTGGATCGATATCGGTCATGTTGAGCTGGACGTCTTGGATCGATATAGGTGACGGTGAGACGGACGTTTTGGATCGAAATCGGTCACAGTGAGACGGGCGACGCGTCTGTATGCTCCGCATGGCACGACCTCTCCCGGTTTAGACCACAACCACAGTGTACCACATTCGTGACCGCCTTCAACAAAGGCAGCATCAACTGCTTACCGGTCGGCTACTGGCGGACCTATGCATCGCAAAGGCATCATTCCGCTCAATGACTTGCAGACAGCGCGTCCGCTGCCATTGTGCAGCTGGTTTCACGTGTTTTTGTGCCCTGTGCGCCGGGACCTGAAGCCCTTGATCGCACCCCGAAAACGGACGAGTCCGTGGTTCGCGCTCGGGCGCGCGCGGTGGATCGCTCAGATTGATCCAAACTTTCGCAGTTACATTATCTGTTATGCCGTCCATTAAACAGGCTTCGCCTTGTATCCCTGTGATTCCGGAAGGACCAGATCTTGGTCTGATCTCAGCCTTTTTTATTGATGTGGCTCTGCTAGTGTTGTTACGGTGGTCGTGCTAATCAAACGGAGAAAGCTATATTTTGTTCACTCTGGGCAAGTTCTGGGTCCAAATGAAACAGTTTGTATGTAAGCAGCATAAGACACAGCTTTTTATGGGCTGCGCTTATTGTTGCTGAAGGCTACATGAGAACGCGATAAATGTTTAGAAAGATAGGCGCTGGCACGTAGGGTCTAGCCGAACCACTCAAGCTGAAAATGCTATGATCCTTGTTCAAGGAAAGCTCGCTCGGCCAGTGACTTCGTTTATGATACATGTCGGCCTTCAAAACGTCGAGCGGGAAGTGATCGACCATTCATGCACTACTTCCCCATCATGGGGGAGAGGGGAGGGGATGCAGCCTTATCTGGTTGTTAGTCACACTGTTGGCTGCGAAGTTGGGATTTTATTTGCTAATTTCCAACACGTTTAACGTTAAACAAAACATGGCTAATTGTGTGGTGCAAAAACAGGTCGTTTAGGACAATTTGTAAAAACACAGGAATCTTCCTTTGACTCAGTAATCTCTAATATGACACAACAGACATCCGGTTTAAGGTTCCAATCCAGACGCCTTCTTTTAAAATTCGTTGTGGTGAAGCTGCGAGATTGCCTGTCCGTGTCTGTGGCAAATATTTAAAAACTTGTTTATTATGTTTTGGTGCATAACAAGAGCCCTCTGTAAACCCGAATTGAGCGATGAACATCGGAGCTCACAAAATAGGTCACTCGTATTATCTATAACTTTCTTGTCTAGTTCACAATCTGGCCAATCAGCTTCGCGATTTGGCCGAATTTCCTGATCTTCTTGATACTTATGTGTAATTGGTAATCTCTCTGACGATATTTTGACGCCGTAACTCAATGATCTCAGTTCCTTCGGACAAAAAGTGCAGAGCAGCTGAGCAGCTCTCTCCTCGTTGGCAGTTATTGTGAGTAGTTATCGCAACTTTTTATCACAACTGTGTGGCGTTGGTGTGGCTCATTGGTATAACTCTACACAGTAGTATCCTAGTTCCACGTTCATTTAAGCACATCTTTGCTACGCGCAATAGGAATCGTCCATGAGAAGCTTTACGGACTTTTCAGGCATACCAAATTCGTTGATTGTGTTGTATTTGTACGTAGCTTAACTGAGGAGAGCCACAATTCCGAGACATTGACTGATTTCTAACGGGTTGATGCAAGCACATTCAGCACATTCAGCATGTGTGTAGTATATACGGTGCACATTCACCTGTATATGCGGGCGTTTTACTGGCATGCGTCTTTTGTTAAAGCCTTTCCATAACAACAGTAGTCAATGACAGCCGTTCGTGACCAACGCAATTTGTTTTCTCAGTGGCGTGCTTGTTGTAAGCCTTATACGGCGCATGGATTACCGCCGGATGGTATTACCGCAATACCGCAGGCCCTCCGTGACAAACAACACTGGGAGCGCACGCTGGTGATTGGGGAAGAAAAAATGCAATCAACCTGCTGTAACCAGCATGGCGTTGGAGAACGGACTATCTCGTCCTCTAGAGAAGGCTCCTTTACTTTGTATTGCACCCGAACTGGGATGCGTGCGTTCGGTTTTTCCTTTCGTCTCGAAGCATACTTGGCTTACGGATGCCCCAGAAAGGGAAATAACTTTAAGATTTAACACAAAAATTGCAAAAACATCCACCCTCATTTTTGTAGGTGAACTGCGTGACCAATATCTTCGGAGGATCTCGTCATGGATTGTGCCCTGGATTCGTCCCAAAAGGTGTCAGTGCCGATTATCACCGTACTTCAGAAGTTCACCGTCAGTTCTAACCACAATATTGCGCTGCATAAAATATCATAATAAATGTACAGATATGTCGGAAAGAAGCCTGGGTCAATTGTTATTGAGCATGCAACGAGACTAATATGATCAAGCGCTTTACGTTACTTTTCCGGACGCCGGGCTCACAAACATTGTAACCTCCCGTGTGCTTTTCAAATGAACATCGCACGTAAAACGGTCAGAGTCAAGACCGGAACGCCACGCCTGACGCGGAATGTGCCGGATGGGCCTGTTCCAGCCCGGTGTAACCTCGATAGTCGCGAAGCTCATTGTTTTAAAACGGCAGCTGAGTGAGGTGATGACTTCTTTAACAGTCCGTTCGCCGAAACGACCACATAACGGACCGTGCACGCCCACCGATGCCTTCCACGCCACTCTGAATGTGCAGTGAGGCCATATCAGGCCGCACTTACCCAGAAACAGGCACGTGCAGAATACCAGCACACCGATGGCGTGCATTGTCGCGTGCCGCTCCGTTGTGCGACGTCAGCCGGCGAGCTCTTCAGCGCGGGCGCCGCTCGGGTGAGCCCGCCAGCACCGCCAACCTCGAGCCGACACCAGAGCGGTGGCCGGCCGGCCCCGTCCGGCGCAGCAGTCCACCCGGTGCGTTCGCCTGCGTCTCCCACGCCGGGCTCGGCCCCGCCCCGCGGCGCACCATCCGAGCGTCGCCGGACCTGCAGGCAGCGTCGGCCTCGGCGACCGACGGGCGCCGCGGCGGCACGAGGACTGAGCGCGCGGACAGCGGCGAGCTGCCATCGATCCCCACCTGCCGTCTCTCAGGGCGGCGTTCGACAGGCCAAGGTGGACGCGGCTGGAGGTGACGCCGCTGCGGTTTGGACCGGGCCGGAGCGTGGCCGTGAAACCGCACCTGTTCTCCACCCGAGCCTCGATCGTCGCCGGACCTGTTCTCCACCCGAGCCTCGATCGTCGCCGGACCTGTTCTCCAATCCTACTTCAGGCGCTGCGTAGAAGGTTCGTGTTGCGTAGAATGCGTTTTCTTCGGCATTACTGTACGAACTGAGTTGTACAACAGAAAGGCAGAGCACCCTTTCAAGATATATGGCATAGATTTCATGATTATTCCCACCTCTTGCCCCTCAATGAACATTGTATCGACAGCAAATCCCTTGTCCGTTATCACGTGTTGATATGTCTTCGAGGGACCACCTCATACTGGGCGCCTCCCCTCGCCGGTACATACGAGAGTAGTGGGGTCTCCCAGCCCGGATACAGTCCTCTGATCCGTGACCTGATCCGCTATGGACGGCATATGACTGCTGGAAAGAGCCTGACGTCATGTCAGCGGGTCACCGCCGAGACCAGACTCCCGCCCACTGCCGGACAACGCAGGCCACCGCCGAGACCAGACTCCCGCCCACCGCCGGACGACACAGGCCACCGCTGAGACCAAACGCCCGCCCTCTGGCGAACGACGCAGGCCACCACTGAGACCAGACTCGCGCCCTCTGGCGAACGACGCAGGTCACCGCCGAGACCAGACTCCCGCCCACCGCCGGACGACGCAGGCCACCGCCGAGACCAGACTCCCGCTCACCGCCGGACGACGCAGGCCACCACCGAGACCAGACTCGCGCCCTCTGGCGAACGACGCAGGCCACCGTCGAGACCAGACTCCCCCTACTGCCGGACGACGCAGGTCACCGTCCGAGACCAGACTCCCGCCCACGCCGGACGACGCAGGCCGCCGTCGAGACCAGACTCCCGCCCACCGCCGGACGACGCAGGTCACCGTCGAGACCAGACTCCCGCCCACCGCCGGACGACGCAGGCCGCCGTCGAGACCAGACTCCCGCCTACTGCCGGACGACGCAGGCCGCCGTCGAGACCAGACTCCCGCCCACCGCCGGACGACGCAGGCCACCGCCGAGACCAGACTCCCGCCTACACTGCCGGACGACGCAGGTCACCGCCGAGACCAGACTCCCGCCCACCGCCGGACGACGCAGGTCACCGTCGAGACCAGACTCCCGCCCACCGCCGGACGACGCAGGCCGCGTCGAGACCAGACTCCCGCCCACCGCGGACGACGCAGGTCACCGCCGAGACCAGACTCCCGCCCACCGCCGGACGACGCAGGCCACCGTCGAGACCAGACTCCCGCCCACCGCCGGACGACGCAGGCCACCGCCGAGACCAGACTCCCGCCCACCGCCGGACGACGCAGGTCACCGCCGAGACCAGACTCCCGCCCACCGCCGGACGACGCAGGCCACCGTCGAGACCAGACTCCCGCCCTCTGGCGAACGACGCAGGTCACCGCCGAGACCAGACTCCCGCCCACCGCCGGACGACGCAGGTCACCGTCGAGACCAGACTCCCGCCCACCGCCGGACGACGCAGGCCACCGCCGAGACCAGACTCCCGCCCACCGCCGGACGACGCAGGCCACCGCCGAGACCAGACTCCCGCCCACCGCCGGACGACGCAGGTCACCGCCGAGACCAGACTCCCGCCCACCGCCGGACGACGCAGGCGCCGTCGAGACCAGACTCCCCCCCTCTGGCGAACGACGCGGTCACCGTCGAGACCAGACTCCCACCCACCGCCGGACGACGCAGGCCGCCGTCGAGACCAGACTCCCGCCCACCGCCGGACACGCAGGCCGCCGTCGAGACCAGACTCCGCCTACTGCCGGACGACGCAGGCCACGCCGAGACCAGACTCCCGCCCACCGCCGGACGACGCAGGTCACCGCCGAGACCAGACTCCCGCCCACTGCCGGACGACGCAGGCCACCGCCGAGACCAGACTCCCGCCCACTGCCGGACGACGCAGGCCACCGCCGAGACCAGACTCCCGCCCACCGCCGGACGACGCAGGCCACCGCCGAGACCAGACTCCCGCCCACCGCCGGACGACGCAGGTCACCGCCGAGACCAGACTCCCGCGCTACCGCCGGACGACGCAGGTCACCGCCGAGACCAGACTCCCGCCTACCGCCGGACGACGCAGGTCACCGCCGAGACCAGACTCCCGCCCACTGCCGGACGACGCAGGTCACCGTCGAGACCAGACTCCGCCCACCGCCGGACGACGCAGGTCACCGCCGAGACCAGACTCCCGCCCACCGCCGGACGACGCAGGCCACCGCCGAGACCAGACTCCCGCCCACCGCCGGACGACGCAGGTCACCGCCGAGACCAGACTCCCGCCTACTGCCGGACGACGCAGGTCACCGCCGAGACCAGACTCCCGCCCGCCGCCGGACGACGCAGGCCACCGCCGAGACCAGACTCCCGCCCACCGCCGGACGACGCAGGTCACCGCGAGACCAGACTCCCGCCCACCGCCGAGACCAGACTCCCGCGCACCGTCGAGACCAGACTCCCGCCCACCGTCGAGACCAGACTCCCGCCCACCGCCGGACGACGCAGGTCACCGCCGAGACCAGACCCGCCCACCGCCGGACGACGCAGGTCACCGCCGAGACCAGACTCCCGCCCACCGTCGAGACCAGACTCCCGCCCACCGTCGAGACCAGACTCCCGCCCACCGTCGAGACCAGACTCCCGCCCACCGTCGAGACCAGACTCCCGCCCACCGCCGGACGACGCAGGTCACCGCCGAGACCAGACTCCCGCCCACCGCCGGACGACGCAGGCCACCGTCGAGACCAGACTCCCGCCCACCGTCGAGACCAGACTCCCGCCCACCGCCGAGACCAGACTCCCGCCCACCGTCGAGACCAACTCCCGCCACCGTCGAACCAGACTCCCGCCCACCGTCGAGACCAACTCCCGCCCACCGTCGAGACCAGACTCCCGCCCACCGTCGAGACCAGACTCCCGCCCACCGTCGAGACCAGACTCCCGCCCACTGCCGGACGCCTCGACGGGACTTCCGCTGCAGCCACGGCAGAGCGGGATGAGCAGCCATCGGGCAGAGCGGGATGAGCAGCCTCGGCAGAGCGGGATGAGCAGCCTCGGCAGAGCGGGATGAGCAGCCCTCGGCAGTCACCCGTCGCGGGAGCTGCGGGGGTGGGCTGGGCAGCGCCGGAATGTTCTGTTAGCTCGCGGTGACGGGCGCGCGACGTCCGGCGGATATCGTTGACCTCCAGAAATAGTCAGCATACTAAGCCGGTGGCGGCTGTACGCGATATTCTCGGCCGGCAGCATCGCAAACATCGACTACGATCGCGCGAGGCGAATCAGCAGGGAGGTCTGAGCCTTCGTCACTGCTACGGGCCCTGTATGCACCACTGTGCTGGCGTTCTCGTCTATCTACTCACAAAGTGCACAGATTAACAAGCATATGGTCTTTACCGAGTTGCATGTTGGTAAACGAGAACTACGGGCATGAATACATTTCCCTGGGTATGAAGACAACAGTATAGAGAACGATTACGATTGGGCTCCACGTCCATCAGTGTAGAGTCAAGGTATTGCTAACGGGCTTTTAACTCTCTCACCATGCCCAAAGGGATTGGTTTGATTCTGATCTAAATAATGATGCATGCATGTACAAACGACCGTAGGAGCTCAAATGTTTGTCCTCACGGCAGCCGCTGCATCCGTCACGTTTGCACTTTTCAGAACCATTGCGTCCAAATGATCGCCACCACGAAAAGGCTTACCGGCCCAGTCAGACCCGAGCCGATTGACTTGAAGTGTGATTGTTGTTTTTGAACCTCAAACCCCAGCATGCCACCAACCGTCTGACAGCGGGTCCGCTCATCCCACCTGTCGAGCGTCAACGTCTGACAGCGGGTCTGCTCATCCCAACTGTAGCAACGAGTGTCAACGTCTGACGGCGGGTCTGCTCATACCAAACGTAGTAGCGAGTGTCAACGTCTGACAGCGGGTCTGCTCATCCCACCTGTAGTAACGAGTGTCAACGTCTGACAGCGGGTCTCCTCATCCCAACCGTAGTAGCGAGTGTCAACGTCTGACAGCGGGTCTGTTCATCCCAACCGTAGTAACGAGTGTCAACGTCTGACAGCGGGTCTGCTCATCCCAACTGTAGTAGCGAGTGTGAACGTCTGACAGCGGGTCTGTCATCCCAACCGTATTAACGAGTGTCAACGTCTGACAGCGGGTCTGCTCATATTCAACTGCATAACGAGTGTCAAC